AATACTGGTGTATGTTTAAATATCTGTATTTGTGTACAGCTTAATGTAATATCAATACTAGAGTTTCTAGGTACGTGCATCAGAACAGAGGGTCATGAGTTATCAATACTGATGTGTGACTGTTATGGGAGATTGTGTTATGAGTTATCAATACTGGCGTGTCAGGACTTGTAGAACTGTTAGTGTTACAGCACCTGTGAGGTTTGTTGGTTCCTTATTGGCAAGGGTTAGGGTGTATTATATCAATGTGGTTTCTGGAATATGTTGACAATCTTTGTGACAAATTCTGTGTGATGAGCTAGGTGTCTGCGTTAATTGATGTTTCACTCTTTACAGTGAGCATGATAGTCAAATATTTGAAAGTGGGTCCAAGTGTGATGCAGGCTACAACCTGTCTGGGCAGTATACAGTATACTACATGCAGACTACAACCTGTCTGGGCAGTATACAGTATACTACATGCAGGCTACAACCTGTCTGTGCAGTATACGGTATACTACATGCAGGCTACAACCTGTCTGGGCAGTATACAGTATACTACATGCAGACTACAACCTGTCTAGGCAGTATACAGTATACTACATGCAGACTACAACCTGTCTAGGCAGTATACAGTATACTACATGCAGGCTACAACCTGTCTGGGCAGTATACAGTATACTACATGCAGGCTACAACCTGTCTGGGCAGTATACAGTATACTACATGCAGACTACAACCTGTCTGGGCAGTATACAGTATACTACATGCAGGCTACAACCTGTCTGGGCAGTATACAGTATACTACATGCAGGCTACAACCTGTCTGGGCAGTATACGGTATACTACATGCAGGCTACAACCTGTCTGTGCAGTATACGGTATACTACATGCAGGCTACAACCTGTCTGTGCAGTATACGGTATACTACATGCAGGCTACAACCTGTCTGTGCAGTATACGGTATACTACATGCAGGCTACAACCTGTCTGGGCAGTATACAGTATACTACATGCAGACTACAACCTGTCTGGGCAGTATACGGTATACTACATGCAGGCTACAACCTGTCTGTGCAGTATACGGTATACTACATGCAGGCTACAACCTGTCTGGGCAGTATACAGTATACTACATGCAGGCTACAACCTGTCTGGGCAGTATACAGTATACTACATGCAGGCTACAACCTGTCTGGGCAGTATACAGTATACTACATGCAGGCTACAACCTGTCTGGGCAGTATACAGTATACTACATGCAGGCTACAACCTGTCTGGGCAGTATACAGTATACTACATGCAGACTACAACCTGTCTGTGCAGTATACGGTATACTACATGCAGGCTACAACCTGTCTGGGCAGTATACAGTATACTACATGCAGACTACAACCTGTCTAGGCAGTATACAGTATACTACATGCAGACTACAACCTGTCTGTGCAGTATACGGTATACTACATGCAGGCTACAACCTGTCTGGGCAGTATACAGTATACTACATGCAGGCTACAACCTGTCTGTGCAGTATACGGTATACTACATGCAGGCTACAACCTGTCTGGGCAGTATACAGTATACTACATGCAGACTACAACCTGTCTAGGCAGTATACAGTATACTACATGCAGACTACAACCTGTCTGTGCAGTATACGGTATACTACATGCAGGCTACAACCTGTCTGGGCAGTATACAGTATACTACATGCAGGCTACAACCTGTCTGGGCAGTATACAGTATACTACATGCAGGCTACAACCTGTCTGGGCAGTATACAGTATACTACATGCAGGCTACAACCTGTCTGGGCAGTATACAGTATACTACATGCAGGCTACAACCTGTCTGGGCAGTATACAGTATACTACATGCAGACTACAACCTGTCTGTGCAGTATACGGTATACTACATGCAGGCTACAACCTGTCTGGGCAGTATACAGTATACTACATGCAGACTACAACCTGTCTGTGCAGTATACGGTATACTACATGCAGGCTACAACCTGTCTGGGCAGTATACAGTATACTACATGCAGGCTACAACCTGTCTGGGCAGTATACAGTATACTACATGCAGGCTACAACCTGTCTGGGCAGTATATGGTATACTACATGCAGGCTACAACCTGTCTGGGCAGTATACAGTATACTACATGCAGACTACAACCTGTCTAGGCAGTATACAGTATACTACATGCAGACTACAACCTGTCTGGGCAGTATACAGTATACTACATGCAGGCTACAACCTGTCTGGGCAGTATATGGTATACTACATGCAGGCTACAACCTGTCTGGGCAGTATACAGTATACTACATGCAGACTACAACCTGTCTAGGCAGTATACAGTATACAACATGCAGGCTACAACCTATCTGGGCAGTATACAGTATATTACATGCAGACTACAACCTGTCTGGGCAGTATACAGTATACTACATGCAGACTACAACCTGTCTGGGCAGTATACAGTATACTACATGCAGGCTACAACCTGTCTGTGCAGTATACGGTATACTACATGCAGGCTACAACCTGTCTGGGCAGTATACAGTATACTACATACAGGCTACAACCTGTCTGTGCAGTATACGGTATACTACATGCAGGCTACAACCTGTCTGGGCAGTATACAGTATACTACATGCAGACTACAACCTGTCTAGGCAGTATACAGTATACTACATGCAGGCTACAACCTATCTGGGCAGTATACAGTATATTACATGCAGACTACAACCTGTCTGGGCAGTATACAGTATACTACATGCAGACTACAACCTGTCTGGGCAGTATACAGTATACTACATGCAGGCTACAACCTGTCTGTGCAGTATACGGTATACTACATGCAGGCTACAACCTGTCTGGGCAGTATACAGTATACTACATGCAGACTACAACCTGTCTAGGCAGTATACAGTATACTACATGCAGGCTACAACCTATCTGGGCAGTATACAGTATATTACATGCAGACTACAACCTATCTGGGCAGTATACAGTATACTACATGCAGACTACAACCTGTCTGGGCAGTATACAGTATACTACATGCAGGCTACAACCTGTCTGAGCAGTATTCAGTATACTACATGCAGACTACAACCTATCTGAGCAGTATACAGTATATTACATGCAGACTACAACCTGTCTGAGCAGTATACAGAATACTACATGCAGGCTACAACCTATCTGTGCAGTATACAGAATACTACATGCAGGCTACAACCTATCTGTGCAGTATTCAGTATACTACATGCAGACTACAACCTGTCTGTGCAGTATTCAGTATACTACATGCAGACTACAACCTGTCTGTGCAGTATTCAGTATAAGTATACTACATGCAGGCTCCAACCTGTCTGTGCAGTATACAGTATACTTCATGCAGACTACAACTTGTCTGTGCAGTATTCAGTATAAGTATACTACATGCAGGCTACAACCTGTCTGGGCAGTATACAGTATAATACATGCAGGCTACAACCTGTCTGGGCAGTATACAGTATACTACATGTAGGCTACAACCTGTCTGTGCAGTATACAGTATACTACATGCAGACTACAACTTGTCTGTGCAGTATTCAGTATATGTATACTACATGCAGACTACAACCTGTCGGTGCAGTATTCAGTATACAACATGCAGGCTACAACCTATCTGGGCAGTATACAGTATACTACATGCAGACTACAACCTATCTGGGCAGTATACAGTATACTACATGCAGGCTACAACCTATCTGGGCAGTATACAGTATACTACATGCAGACTACAACCTATCTGGGCAGTATACAGTATACTACATGCAGACTACAACCTATCTGGGCAGTATACAGTATACCACATGCAGACTACAACCTGTCTGGGCAGTATACAGTATACTACATGCAGGCTACAACCTGTCTGGGCAGTATTCAGTATACCACATGCAGACTACAACCTGTCTGTGCAGTATACAGTATTCTACATGCAGACTACAACCTGTCTGGGCAGTATACAGTATACTACATGCAGGCTACAACCTATCTAGGCTTGTCAGCCATTTACAAAAACTAAACTCTTTAAATTCAACCAACTGCTTGTAAACGGTATTTAAACAATTTGACGGTCAACCTGTACATTCTTCCTCGGCTTTCTGTTTGTAGGAAGCATTAACTGAATTTAGTGTTTGTTTCAAGCTGTTTAGAACACGTTTCAGGGTAAGAAATTGAAAGATGAAAATTGGAAGTATTCTGACAAACTTAAACCATAAAGCGACAAAATTAAGAAGATTATTTCTACTTGTATTTATCTGGCAACACAATGAGGACAAGCCAGACGAAGTTAACAGTCGAGAGATTGTCAACCAATATGTGTTTGTGTGTCATTGTAATCAAACTTCATCAGTGGCTGCCTCACTATCAACCACTAGACAGGGAAGGGGTAGGCCATCACACTAGAGGGTAGGGAAGGGGTAGGCCATGACGCTGGAGGGTAGGGAAGGGGTAGGCCATGACACTGGAGGGTAGGGAAGGGGTAGGCCATGACACTGGAGGGTAGGGAAGGGGTAGGCCATGACACTGGAGGGTAGGGAAGGGGTAGGCCATGACACTGGAGGGTAGGGAAGGGGTAGGCCATGACACTGGAGGGTAGGGAAGGGGTAGGCCATGACACTGGAGGGTAGGGAAGGGGTAGGCCATCACACTGGAGGGTAGGGAATGGGTAGTGTGGAGTCCATCGTTATTTAGCCTGATATAGCAGCGATACAGTACTTCATACAGTTGCTGCAGTAGAGCTTTGACTTCTGTTCGATGATAAACTCAAAGGTCCATGATTCATAAGGAATGTTGTGTGTTGCTGAGTAAGTGTCATCTCTGCTGGATTCCGGGTAAGAACAGGTCCCCAGCAATTCTGGTTCATACTTGATACTGAAGACTGCAGTGATTATAGATATTAGTGACAAAGGGGTTTTATGACAGCTAAATGTACTTATTTCAAGGATTAACGATTCCTTGTTTCATTTCAGCCTCACGCCTTGGTCGACGTCCCAAACGACTGAAAGACGTAAGCGGCGATTCACAGCGATCTCATCAAGTGAACCTTCCAATAGCACCATACCCCTCCCCAGCAGAACTCTACAGACTCAGAATGGCAGAACTTCAGAAACTCCTCCAAGCTAACGGCACCTTCAAGTCGGAGCTGATGCAGGCCTTTCTCTCGGCAGCACAGGCCAGCTTCCGTGAGCACGCCAAGAACAGCACCACGGGGTCCACAAGCACCACCAACACAACTCACACAACCCTTGACGGGAACCAGAACACGTACACACAGGGCATGATCCCATTCGGGAACGAGTCGGGCTACTCCAGCATGAGCAGCCCGGCTAGCAGCAAGAGCCAATCTCCCCTTCACGACAACAACCATCCACAGATGCTCAACAACAACCAGATGATGGACAACACCAACATGAACACCATGCCACCTACCACGACCTACAATGCCAACACTACTCTGGGTCTCCAGCAGCAGCAGCAGCAGCAGCAGCAGCAACACCAGCAGCAGCAGCAGCACCCTCTTGGCATGACGAACACGCAGATTGGACACAACAGCATGCCAAGCACTCACGTGTCCAACATCTCCAGCCCAATGTCCAGTACGACCCTGCCCAACACGCCGAGCCCACTGTCCACATCGTCCAACCTCAACGCCCCTGTACCCATGCCCTACATCATGCCCCAAGACTGCCCCGTCACCATCAAGACCGAGCCCACGTCTACAGGTGCCTGCGATTTCCCTGATTCCAATGGCAACCAGGCGATGGAAGTGTTGCGGATGCTGGATGAGGCGAAGCAGACGCCGGTGGGGTCAAGGAGGCAGTTGATACAGCAGGTACAGGAAGCAGTCACCACAGCCCATCTCAGCACCTCCCTCAACACGATCAAGTCCGTGCAGGATGCCAATGAGCGACTGAGAAACTCCACGATGCCGATTCAGATGGTGAGATGTCTGGGGTTACTGCATGCTTATCGCAAATGTTATATTTGGGATAACACTTTCTTTGTAAAGTACAGATTCTCGTACTTTTTTGAGTCCCCGGACGGGACTCAACCCAAAAAAGTATGAGAATCTGTACTTTACAAAGAAAGTGTTATACCAAATATAACATTTGTTACATTTGACTTTCTAAATGGCATTGTGTGTTCATGCATGCTTGTTGCTTTAAATAGATCTTTCCATTAACGTTAATAAAATATTGTGTCAAATCCATCAAAACCATATAGATCAATTGTAAGTGATTGGCTAACTGAGAAATTACACTTTTGTTTATTCTTCCATAAACTGCCCAAAATAATTAAGAATTAATTTTTTGAAAGTAGAATAATTCTGTTAAAGTATAATAAGTCCCCAGTGAAGAAGCTCTTAAACCTTGTTAACCTGGGCCCACTTGCACAAAGCTATCTTAGCGCTAAGATGATCGTAACGCCCAAACTTTAACATACGCTTACAATAATCTTAGCGCTAAGATCGCTTTGTGCAAGTGGGCCCTGGACACAATATATGGTACGGTCCGATGGTGATGTTGCTGTGTTAAATCTTGGTCCTGTGCTGATGTTGCGTGTTGTGTGTGTTGCAGCCCGACATGAGCAAGTTGTCCCTGAGTGCGGACTCCATGTGGCAGGGCTTCCTGTCCCAGATGGTCCCCGAGATCACCAACGTTGTCAAGTTCTGCAAGAAGTTGCCAGGTAAGTGGGGGAGAGGTAGTTGGGGTTCCTCGTGTTGGTCCCTCGTGACCCATACTGGTCGTCCGCTAAAATGGATTGGATGAACAATTTTGTAGAATGGATGCACAGTTGGTAAAACTGTGACACAGCTCTGCAGAGTTGTCTCCCTTAGGTGTGCAGGGATCCAGTGCTCATGACGCCCAGATATGCCCTGATAATTTTGTTGTTTTGTAAGCAGCATCCTCCTTGTGACCCGTGAAGATCTGGGGTAGAATAGATTTTCAGCAACGCCTGCTTGCCATAAAAGGCGACTATACTTGTCGTTAGATGCGACTAACAGGATCAGGTGGTCAGGCTCGTTGACTTGTTTGATGCGTTTCATTGTATTCAAATTGAGTGGATGGATGCTCATGATGTCAATCACTGGATTGTCTGGTCCAGACTAGATTATTTACAGACTGCCGTCTTATAGCTGGAATATTGCTAAGTGCAGCGTTAAACAACAAACAAACAACTACATTTATCAATGTAGCAAGTTATACAGCACATATTAATGTATCAATGTAGCAAGTTATATGGGTCAAAATATGTCTTGATCACTGAAACCAAAGTCCTCATGGGATTCTAGTGGTCGAGTGGATAGAGCGTCCACCCTGTGAGCGGGAGGTTGGTGGTTCGATTCCCAGACCTGTTATACAAAAACATGTTGGGGCACGGGTGTCCCAGAATAGTGTCCCTTGGGCACGCCAGAAACCTATGATTGTGGGTTCGAATCCCAGTTTGCCCAGATTATGTTTCTAGGTTTGTCAGCACCATACCCGTGCTCGTGGGTTTCACCGGTGGTAAACGTCTGAGACCTGCATCACTTCGGGCTTTCTTCCCACATTAAGCTGACACGCCGTGATATAACTAGAATACTGAAAGAGGTGTTGAACCCAACTCACTCACTCACTCACTCACTCACTCACTCACTCACTCACTCACTCACAAACATGTTAAAAGATGGAACTTGTTACGTTGTCTGGCACTTGCCATTTAGAGGATACAACAAGGAGTCCATATACTGTGTTTGATTGGGTTTATCCATGTTAAACTGTGGCATGGCATCTCAGTGTACTAGCACTATAAAACCAGAATTAGTCGATATTAGAAATATTAATTATTTGTGTGCAGGCTTCACAGAGATTGAGCAGGAGGACCAGATTAAACTCCTGAAGCAAGGATCCTTTGAAGTGATGATGACACGCTTCACGATGCTGGTCGACGTAGAAACGGAGGAAATGCTGGACCCATCGCACAAGATGAAGTGTCCAAAGTGAGTAGACTGAACAACAACAACAACAACAACAACAACAATAACAACAACAATAACAACAATAATAATAATAGGTTATTTATATTGCACATATTTCCACACCACTCGGGCATGCTCAAAGTGCTATTATTACCCCGGTCATTCTCAGCTCCCTGGGTGTTATGCAACTCATGCTGCCCGTTACGGGCTAGAAGGTTAACGACCACATTGCCATCTCATCCTACCGGGTACCCGTTCACTGCTGGGTGAACTCATTTCAGAACCATTCTGCATATTGATGTTTATTATATTGTTTCGATTGTGAGGTAAACTTCAGCATACCTTAACCTAGGGAATAAAGAACAAGACTTTCTATGCGAAGCCTCTCCGTTGTCAGGGTGATCACATCAAATAAATCATAAGTAATAAGTAACAGTGTTTGGTTTTTGATCACCACATCGGAAGTGACATTGTTTTGGTACATTTATTTAGACATCGGGTAATGTATCTTCATGTGGATCTTGTTTGCAGGCAAGTTATCATGTCGATGCCGATGGGAAACTTCTTTCAAGAGTTCTTCAAGGTTGCGGGGGAGCTCAACCCCCTGAACTTGACCGACAGCGAGATCGGATTGTTCTCAGCCTGCCTCATTATGTGTCCTGGTGAGTTGGTCTGAACTGAAGGGCAGTCCCAACAATGTTATCTTCTAAAAATAGATCTGCATCTTTACATATTATCATGTCATTAAAGTCGCATTCAGTATTGAGAATGAGATTCAGGGGGTCCTTGGGATAAGCTTACTGTTAGAAATTAGAAACAGCTGGTAAGTTCTTCAGTATGGACACTGTAGGATAAAATGTCTTTAGTGTGGACACTGTAGGATAAAATGTCTTTAGTATGGACACTAGGATAAAATGTCTTTAGTATGGACACTGTAGGATAAAATGTCTTTAGTGTGGACACTGTAGGATAAAATGTCTTAGTATGGACACTGTAGGATAAAATGTCTTTAGTATGGACACTGTAGGATAAAATGTCTTTAGTGTGGACACTGTAGGATAAAATGTCTTTAGTGTGGACACTGTAGGATAAAATGTCTTTAGTATGGACACTGTAGGATAAAATGTCTTTAGTATGGACACTGTAGGATAAAATGTCTTAGTATGGACACTGTAGGATAAAATGTCTTTAGTGTGGACACTGTAGGATAAAACGTCTTTAGTGTGGACACTGTAGGATAAAATGTCTTTAGTATGGACACTGTAGGATAAAATGTCTTTAGTATGGACACTGTAGGATAAAATGTCTTTAGTATGGACACTGTAGGATAAAATGTCTTTAGTATGGACACTGTAGGATAAAATGTCTTTAGTATGGACACTGTAGGATAAAATGTCTTTAGTATGGACACTGTAGGATAAAATGTCTTAGTATGGACACTGTAGGATAAAATGTCTTTAGTATGGACACTGTAGGATAAAATGTCTTCAGTATGGACACTGTAGGATAAAATGTCTTTAGTGTGGACACTGTAGGATAAAATGTCTTTAGTATGGACACTGTAGGATAAAATGTCTTTAGTATGGACACTGTAGGATAAAATGTCTTTAGTGTGGACACTGTAGGATAAAATGTCTTTAGTATGGACACTGTAGGATAAAATGTCTTTAGTGTGGACACTGTAGGATAAAATGTCTTTAGTGTGGACACTGTAGGATAAAATGTCTTTAGTATGGACACTGTAGGATAAAATGTCTTTAGTGTGGACACTGTAGGATAAAATGTCTTTAGTGTGGACACTGTAGGATAAAATGTCTTTAGTATGGACACTGTAAGATAAAATGTCTTTAGTATGGACACTGTAGGATAAAATGTCTTTAGTGTGGACACTGTAGGATAAAATGTCTTTAGTATGGACACTGTAGGATAAAATGTCTTTAGTATGGACACTGTAGGATAAAATGTCTTTAGTATGGACACTGTAGGATAAAATGTCTTTAGTGTGGACACTGTAGGATAAAATGTCCAGGATCCTAACCCCAGTGCTTTCTTACACTTTGATGTAAGCTGACATGGTGATGTTTGATTTCAGATCGCCTGGGTCTGAAGAATGTGAAGGCTCTGAATAAGATCCAGAATCTGTTCCAACAGTCTCTCTACATGATGCTCGAACAGAACCATTCTGGTACGTATCGACTCTTACTACCTCATGCTTGTCTCCCTATCGAGGTTCAGACTAGGTCCCCAGTACCTCATGCTTGTCTCCCTATGGGGGTTCCACGTCAGACTAGGTCCCCAGTACCTCATGCTTGTCTCCCTATGGGGGTTCCAGGTCAGACTAGGTCCCCAGTACCTCATGCTTGTCTCCCTATGGGGCATCCACGTCAGACTAGGTCCGCAGTACCTCATGCTTATCTCCCTATGGGGGTTCCAGGTCAGACTAGGTCCCCAGTACCTCATGCTTGTCTCCCTATGGGGGTTCCAGGTCAGACTAGGTCCCCAGTACCTCATGCTTATCTCCCTATGGGGGTTCCAGGTCAGACTAGGTCCCCAGTACCTCATGCTTGTCTCCCTATGGGGGTTCCAGGTCAGACTAGGTCCCCAGAACCTCATGCTTGTCTGCTTTAATTGCCAGATGATGATTGGCTTGGGGAAAGGCCAGGCCTGTCTCCCTCATAGAACTGTCGACCACTCACTCACTCACCCGACCACTCACTCGCCCACTCACCCGACCACTCACTTGCCCGACCACTCACTCAGTCGATCACTCACCTGCTCACTTACTCATTCGCTCACTCACTCGTCCATTTGTTTCCAGAACCAGACACATTGTTCCTGAAGCTGCTGACCTCAGTCCCCGTCCTCCGAACCATCAACGAGGAACACTCCAAGGCCATCAACAACATCAAAATGACCCAACCGGGAACATACGAGGAAGTGTTCCCCGCCTTGCATCAAGAAGTGTTCGACGGCAAACTGTAGGCAGCCAATCGGGCAACAGATGATAAACTGGAGGAGGACATCTGCTGCTGTTTAGTCTGACCAATCAGAGACTCCGTAAGAAAGGCTTGCTATGGCCGATGATGTGATGTTGACGCACGATGCGGAGAACTGTTGTTGGTTATATATGCGGCGACATATTACAACAGTACAGCGTCTGGTAGCTGGTCCAGCTCAGTAAACCATCTCTCAACTTTGTTAAAATTCAAATTAAATTTTAGGAGTTGAATGTAGCTGAAGACAGATGAAATGGCTCAAGTCTGTGGCAATGTAACAAGTGAGAACTCTCTGTCGTCATGGACGCTTGTATTGGTAGAAGTTAACCTGTTACAAGGATACAACATTTGTGCCTACATCAAAGTATTGTAGTTTACAAATAAGTGTCTTTGAGAATTTTTAGATATACCGTAATTGACGTATTATACAAACGGAACGATTTGAGATTCCAAGTTTTATGATTTTTTAGAAACTTAAGAAACTGTTCACCCGAATAAACTGAATTAGGATATCTTTAGGATGTGAATGATTTAAAAATCTATTCATGGAAAAGAAATCTCGACATTATCTTAAAAATGTTTGTTTTTTAAAATGGGGTTCTTAATACGTGGTATATTGTAGTATAATTCCTCTTGAGGGCAAGTCTTCTGTAACAAGACGGACACTACATCATCTTCATTGAACAAAAATCCTTTTCCATGACTATTTGAAATTGTAAGAGAGGTTGAATGGTGTTGAAGGTGTAGAATATAGAGAACATGTGATACAACAGGGCTTGTGTGGATGAGTGAATGTGGGAGTGGACGTTGTTCATGTAAATATAGGTCATGTGTCGGAAGGGCCCTGTCGACTGCCAATTGCGAGATTCATGTATTGTGTATCATATACTATGAAGTTTATCGTCTGAGCATTGTTATTGATTCATTGTAAACACCACATCAACAGATGGAGATGTTATTGTACAGATTAATCTATTTGTATATAACCCGTGTAACAGTAGACCGTAATCACTGACCTTTGGAGACTTATTCATCCTATTTTCAGAGAAACATTTGACTGATCCTTGAGGTTTTTAGTGGTGTGCTCGTCAACCCCCTCTGACAACTGGTTGAACTCATCTTTTGCTAGTTTGATCAAGTTTACTCCAGATTGGTCTAGTTTGAACTAGTTTCATCCAGATTGGTCTAGTTCAAACTAGTCTCATCAAGATTGGTCAAGTTTTTAGTTGTGTTCTCGTCAACCCCCTCTGACAACTGGTTGAACACCATCTCTGGCTAGTTTGATCTAGTTTAATCCAGATTGGTCTAGTTTGAACTGGTTTCATCCAGATTGGTCTAGTTTGAACTAGTCTTATCAAGATTGGTCAATTTTAATCTGGTTTACAGGATAAACATTTCAACCTGATTTAGGCTGGACATAGGAAATAGACAATATTTGTGTCCTTTTTGGTTGTTGTGGGTTTGAATCCAGCTTTACCAGTTGAATGACCTTTGGTCTGTCAGTACCAGCTGTGACCTGAGTGGAAGACGCCTGACCTGCTGTGACGTGACCATGTTACTAAGATGCTAAGATGAGCCCCATGTTGACTTCTAGGTGTAGTTATTATATATCAGTGTCTCCGTGCTCATGTCTTCATGCTTATGTGTCTTGTAAAGGATTTAATATTTCGTGTTCACAAAGTGCATAATTTGTGTATAATATTTCAGGGATATGATTATGTACAAGCTCCATAGTGCTGACTATCACAGTATCTGTTACCTGTGAGTGTTTTATCCCGCCTCAGTTGGGGGGGGGGACTTTGGCTCGTTAACCTCAGGTTGCAAACACTAAGTGCTAAACCAAACATTTCAGCATCGGCTTTTTTTCTTTATATGAGAGATAAATGTTTTTCTTAAATATTGATTCAGATATGACTATGTTCATCTACTGCTTTAGTAGACTGTTTTGAAGTGAATTTTTATCTCATTTTTTTTTAGACATTGATTTTGTTAGGTTGTATTGTGTTTGTTATCTACTCTGCCTTGGAAGCCTGTGTTTCAGTTGTTTGTATTATTGTTTTACAATGCCGATGTATGGAAGTAAACAATGGGAATAAAGATTCATAAATCAAAGAATCTGTTGGTGTTCTGTGCATGTTGTACTAAGTGTGTAATCGTCTTAATTTCATACTTATTTAGGGGCAGCCGGGTAGCCTAGTGGTTAAAGCGTTCCCTCGTCACGCTGAAGACCCGGGTTCGATTCCCGACATGGGTACAATGTGTGAAGCCCATTTCTGGTGTCCCCTGCCGTGATATTGTTGGAATATTGCTAAAAGCGGGTAAAACCATACTCACTCACTCACTCATACTTATTTAAAAGCATGAATACATGACAAATTTTTATGGACAGCAACTTCTTTTTGTTTTTTGTATGTTTCAGAGCTACTTCATGCTCCGTCATCGTACTAGAATAAAAGAAGTTGCTATCTGTAAAAAGCTGAAGTGTCATGTATTTATGTTCTGGCAACTTCTAAATTCCTATGTAAGACTTTATTTATATTTAAAAGCATCAGTAAAGGCTTGTCCCAGACATTCAGCTGAGCTTGTATCTTCATGAAGATCCGGGGAAGAATAGGTCTTCAGCAACCCATGCTTGTCTCCCCCCATGAAGATCCGGGGTAAAATAGGTCTTCAGCAACCCATGCTTGTCTCCCCCCATGAAGATCCGGGGAAGAATAGGTCTTCAGCAACCCATGCTTGTCTCCCCCCATGAAGATCCGGGGTAGAATAGGTCTTCAGCAATCCATGCTTGTCTCCCCCCGTGAAGATCCGGGGTAAAATAGGTCTTCAGCAACCCATGCTTGTCTCCCCCCGTGAAGATCCGGGGTAGAATAGGTCTTCAGCAACCCATACTTGTCTCCCCCCGTGAAGATCCGGGGTAAAATAGGTCTTCAGCAACCTGTGCTTGTCTCCCCCCGTGAAGATCTGAGGTAGAATAGATCTTCAGCAACTGAGCTTGTCGTAAGAGGCGACTAATGGGATCAGGTGGTCAGGCTCGCTGACTTGGTGGATGCATGCCATTGTATCCCAATTGCGTGGGTCGATGCTCATGATGTCAGTCACTGGATTGTCTGGTCCAGACACGATTATTTACAGACCGCTGTCATATAGCTGGAAAATTGTTGAGTGCGGCATTAAACAACAAACAAACAAACAAATTGTAACTTCAATCAGGCGAGCCAGTTCATCTCCTTGTTTTTCAGAAATCATGGGTCAAAATGCTAAGAGGGAGTGTGGTTTTCCTATTTACTCATGTACCGGGGAGTCCTACGTTAGAACCCCCAGCAACCTACGATTGTCGGGGTATGCAGTGACTCAGTGGAACTTGTTGATTGTGTGTCATGGCATCTATCAGTGGTTGGGGCGGTAGGGTAGCCTAGTGGTTAAAGCAGTCGCTCGTCATGCCGAAGACCTGGGTTTGATTCCTGACATGGGTACAACGTGTGAAGCCCATTTCTAGTGTCACTCACCGTGATATTGCTGGAATATTGCTAAAAGCATCTTAAAACCATACTCACTCACTCACTCACTCACTCACTCTGTCAGGGGTGTGTCTGGCCGAGAGTCGAATAGCGGGAATGATGCTGAGTGCAGATTAAAGGCTGATATGGCTGGATTATTATTATTATTATTATTTACAGAATAAAATAAATAAAAAATGCAGCAAAGAGGGTTTGGGTGATCCTGGCACAGTCAGGCTGGTTAGGCTCATCATCAGCTCAGGGCCCTTGCCCCCTCCACACGCAGCCCAGACAGTGAATGGGACTTCTCCCAGGAAGCGCTGCCAAGTCAAACCCACCCAGAACTTTTCAGGGTATGTGAAGACTCCCCAACACTGCAGCCTTCTGCATTATCCAGATTGTCAGAAGGGCTGTATTCCTGGTAGCAAACGCGGGTACTCTCCCAATGTCAGTCAAAAGATTGGGAGGTACCAAACCTAAGGCACCAAGAACAATGGGGAGTCGGACAACTTGGTACTTGGGATGCAAGTGTGATGTTCCGTAAGCGAGGTCCACATATTTGCCAAGTTTTTCCTGAACCTTGTCAATCACATTCGTGTCAAAAGGGACCGAAAATTCAATGATATAAATGATTTCATTGGAGATAATCCAAAAAGGACAAGATCTGGTTTGAGGCTACACCCAATTCTGGGTCGTACCATGGATGGACCAAAACTACGTGAGTGAGTGAGTGAGTGAGTGAGTGAACAAATAACGTAACGTTTCAGGCTGGTACGAGTTATCTATTATTTTTCTTGGTATTTTTAGTAACATGTTCATGGCTTTATATACATGTATTCAGGATATACAAGGCGTACCACGATATGTTCCAATACAACCACTTGTATGTACCATGATACAACCACACCATGTTAACATATGTGCCAATACAACCACTTGTATATACCATGATACAACCACTTGTGTATACCACGATACAACCACTTGTATATCCCACGATACAACCACTTGTGTATACCACGATACAAACACACCATGGTAAGATACGTGCCAATACAACCACTTGTATATACCACGATACAACCACTTGTATATACCACGATACAACCACTTGTGTATACCACAATACAACCACTTGTATATGCCACAATACAACCACTTGTATATACCATGATACAACCACACCACGGTAAGATATGTGCCAATACAACCACTTGTATGTACCACGATACAACCACTTGTATATACTACGATACAACCCACCACAGTGAGATACATGCCAATACCACCACTTGTATATACCACGATACAAACACACCACGGTAAGAAACGTGCCAATACAACCACTTGTATGTACCACGATACAACCACACCACAGTAAGATACATGCTGATACAACCACTTGTATATACCACGATACAAACACACCACAGTAAGATACGTGCCAATACAACCACTTGTATATACCACGATACAACCACTTGTATATACCACAATACAACCACTTGTGTATATATACCACGATACAACCACTTTTATATACCACGATACAACCACTTGTAAATACCACAATACAACCACTTGTGTATATATACCACGATACAACCACTTGTGTATATATACCACGATACAACCACTTGTATATACAACGATACAACCACTTGTATATACCACAATACAACCACTTGTGTATATATACCACGATACAACCACTTGTTTATACCACGATACAACCACTTGATTTCGAGTTTGAAGTGACTGACCCTGAGCAGCAGACAGAAAGCCTTCTGCTTCACTTTTCAACCCAGCCGACTTCATCTAAGTGAAGGCCTCCGCAGGGTTGCTGATCCTCTCAATACACTGCACATAAAATCGATGAAGTGGTCCTTCAGATAGCCTCTCCTTGAAAAACTGAGTCTTGGCCGATTTGATATGGCACTTCGCTTGGTTCACACTCATTTCTGTAAGGTCCAGCAGTACAGAACCATCTACAAAATCAACATTGACATTGAGATTATGTCCCACATCCTTGGCTCGATTAAGAAAACCGTGGAATGCCTTGTTTTCATCATGAGTCTTGATGTGCTTCACAAGAGGATCAACAGACCAGAGCACCAGCAGGAAGAGCCTCCACGTTAATCGAACCACGCCCTCCCATTATGATTGCAGGTATAAGCGATTGAGGGAAGAGCGAGGGTGGTGGGATCTATTGTCTGACATGATTCTTGGTGTGAGCGTGTCAGTACCCGGAATTTCTTGTTTCGTCCAATCAACATCACCGATTGAATATGAAAGGACGGGTACAGCATAAGTATTTGTGGCTTTAACTTTATTGCGAGAGTTCAGCTCTGAACTCCAGATTTTCGTAAGTCTACGTTTGTACTCTGCCCGAAGTATTTCCTTGATATGGGCATTCTGGAGTTTGTCCCTAATCTGCATCCCTAAGTACGTATAGGCCGGACCTTCCACGAGATGGTCAATAACTCCTCCTCCAAGTAAACTGACTGATCCTCCCTCTTCATCCTTGCCACGCCCATTTCAGATGAAGAATGTTGCATTTGTAGATTCAAAGGACAAGCCGATATCATAATAAAAGGACTTTTTAGTGTGGATTCTCCATTGGCAATAAGTTCAAGGTCATGCATGTAAAGCAGGTGAGTGAGGATTTTTGGGGATCTGTGCTGGGGAGGTCCAGGCTGATAACCTTCCTCTTTGCTAAGCGGGGCGGTCGGGTAGCCTAGTGGTTAAAGCGTTCGCTCGTCACGCCGAAGACCCGGGTTCGAATCCCGACATGGGTACAATGCGTGAAGGCCATTTCTGGTGTCCCCCACCGTGATATTGCTGGAATATTGCTAAAAGCGGCGTAAAATCAAACTCACTCACTCTTTTCTAAGCAAAAAGCTAAAAGGATTTAGTGACAAACTGAAATGCAAAGAAACTAAAAGAATCGCCCTGAAATATTCCTCTTCTAAAAGAAATGGGGTCCAAAGTGGGGAGCCCCAGTTTATTGGTTGCTTGCATTGTCTGCCCACTCACGCACTGTACTGTGTAGAGTGTACTGTACATGTACTGTGTAGGGTGTAGTGTACTGTGTAGGGTGTAGTGTACTGTGTAGTGTGTACTGTGTAGATTGTACAGAACTGTACTGTATGTTCTACGTGGAATGTTGCTGACGTGGTGGAACCAGCTGCCACGTGGTACTGACACCGTACTGACTGACAACTGTACTCCCGTCACACCGGGGTTATGTAACACACGCCATCCATGAAGCTAATTAATCAACAGTTAATTAGTAGGGAAAACACTTATGAAGTGGCCAGGATGTTAAGTGAGACAGGAGCAGGCAGTGCTTTAGGTACAACGCTTGATTGTTTGTTTTGTTTATTGTTTATTTATTGTTCATTTATTGTGTATTATTGTTCAAGAAATGACGACAGCATTTTATTTCAGCTTGCTCTTTATATTGAACAAAATTTAAACTTAGAAATTCCAAAGCCAATAAAAACTGAAGCGCTCTGTCACAATATGTCAAATATTATCCAATCATCTGTGCTATAGGCCTCATGGCCAGACTATACGAAAATAAATTCTATTCTGATCTGTATTTATTGT